GGCTGGGAGGAAAGGGTTAATGGGCAGCGCGCACTCTGGATTTGGTTAGTACTTTAAAGGGACTTAAAAAAAAACCCATCCTCTGGGCTGAATGATTTTCCCATCTAACTTTTATGTGGGCGAGTGTGTCATATGTGCGAAAAGTCATATCGGCTATCTCGCTCGTCCCTGCTCGAGGAGCCCGAGAGCTGCACGGAGGAGCAGCGCGGCTGTGTTTTAACCTATTGGTACCAAGGTGGTTTGGCTAAAACAATTGCCGTTTAAAAGCAAACCACCAGCCAGACACCTCCCTCAAGTTAAAAAAAAAAACAACAACAGGCAAACAAAAAAAAAAAAAAAAAAAACACCAAAAATCAGTGGAGATGCGTTGTGGACGCTAGTGTGGTTTAGTTCTCCATGGGGATGGTTCCCAGCTGAATCCAGCTGTGGGTAAGCACCTGGCTATTGCTGAAAAGAAGTTGATCAGAATTCAGGAGTATTAGTTAATAAGTGCCTGATCCTGTTGACCCTGTTCTGGTTCACCCACTCAGCTATGCGGGGGTGTTGGAGAAGGTGTCCTGCCAGTTAAACCAATTATAGCTGGCAAGTAGCAGTCATCAGCATTAGTGGAGGAGTTGGAAGTGAGGCCCAGTCACTGCCCTAGTGTCTTTTCTGAACTGAAACAGCAGCTTTTGAAGTCCAGCAGAAAGCCAGCTTTAATCCTTTGTGTCACAAAAAGACATATTGACATTTCAGCTTCGCTCATCTTGCGATACTCTGTAAGGGTTTCAGATCTTGGAGCTGGAAGCTCATACTGCAGATGAGGAGAGAACTGATGTACGATAAGCAAGGGCTATGGAAATACATAAAAACATGAGAGATTTCGTTGGCGGAACTAAAACGGAGTGTTACAGAACATACTAAATACTCATGTGTTATTAGACCAGAGCTCAGTGTCTAGTTTTCCATAAGCTGTGTTGTGCCCAGGCAAGGCCACAGAACAGACAAGCAGCCTACTGTAGAGAAACGGTGCCTTGGGTTAAAGAGCAATGTCATGTAATGAAGACTTTGTGTAAACCTTTTGTCTTAGGACCCTAAACACTTCCAAAGAAACAAAAAAAAAAACAACCCAGGAAGGAGAGAATCCTAGTCCTTCTAAGCAGTGGGGAAGTCCCTAACAGGATTTGTGTAGAGGCCAGGATTGCACATGACAGTGTCAGAAATCTTATTTGTAGCCCTCACTGGGGATCTGCTTTAAAATTACTGAAAACACACATAATGTCTTCACAAATACCTTCCAGTTGGTAAGGCTTACAGCTGGTTATCCCTAGACATCAGAGCAGATTTCAAAGGCAAAGCAAAGGGTATTAGAAATTGCCATATACTTTTTTTTAAAGCCCAGGCGAATGCAAGGATAAACAGTTGTTTAAACTGTGGCAAATTTAATGAAAAGATTAGGATGCTTGCTGAGTGAGACTCATGCTGTGTAAAATTCTTTGCTGCTCAATGAGATGTGTAATTTAGATCAAATATTTGTACGTGCTATTTGAGGTAAAAACCGGCTTTCAGTAGACTGTACTTTTGGGGTAGCATTGATGAAGTGTAAGTCGAATGTTCCTTTCATAGTCAGTTGATATTTTATTTTGATGATAAGCCCCATACGTCTGATAACAGTGAAGCTGAAATAGGCCTTTCAAGTTAAGGACTCTTGATATTTTTTTTAAAGTGATCTAAGAGGATGAAAGGGTTCCTCATCTTCGACTGTTGTATGTTTTTATTTTCCTCTTCATTTATATGGACAGCTTTTGAATGTGCTCTCGTTTTAACAAGCTGGGCTTATTTTGTTAAGCTCCTGATTTGCCATCTTCTTGTGAATTTAAGATTGTATTTTGATTTCTCCTTATTGCTCATAGTAAGTGGTCACAGTTTTGTGGAAATATTAATGGTGTCCTATGTGACTACTTAAATACAAACACACGTTTTCAGGCAATTTCTGTGGAGCAAGATAATTTAGCCCAGTGCTGTGATGAAGGAGAAGAAAAATTGTTGAGACAACTTGCCGCAGTGTAGTCTGATAAGGTATCATTCACCAACACCTGAATTACAGCATCATGATAAATCTGAACAATGGCCATAAAACTGGCTTTATTCCTTATGTTTGATCTCTCCCATAGGCCAATAAAAGGATATGAGTCTTATCACTCTTTTCCGTAAGTGATATATGGGATAACAAGTTATACAGCCCTCACATAACACTGTTCTTGGTAATACCGGCAATCTAATACAGCTTTGAATTCAATAGTGTGAACATATTAATGGTGTTGCCATTATCAACACTTCAAAAAGGGTATTTTACTGAATAAGCCCTCTTCAGTTAAAACTTAAGCCCTCTAAAGCTTTATAAATATGCTAATCCCATGTTTACAAAATGTGCGAGATAACATGGTTGGGAGATGCTTTGCCTAGTAAAGGAAGGAGGTTGCTAACAGTGGGTATTGGCTAGAGTGATTATTCATAAAAGGGTGAAAGGGGTAAATGTTGGTACATGAAGGTGTATCACGGTGAGTGCTTTGTCTGTCCCCTTCCTTCCTTTGAAAGCCAAAGTCCAAAGTGAATCATGGTATGAGAGCAGGAATACAGTAAACAAAAATAGCACAAAACTGAATGGTTAAGATAATGGGTGAAAGTTGGAAAATATCTCAGAGCAATAGATGCTTGGTGGATAAAGGACTTCTGGAGGCTTTTCAGATTAACAGAATAAGGTACTGAAAGCCCTCACACTGGGTATCAGAGGCTAACCATCCTCTTGTTCACTGATTTCATGAAACTCTAACACCAGTGATGCCTGTGAAAGGTTTTCCAGTTAAAAAGCTTCGTAAGTAAGATGGGAATTGTGCCTTGTGTGGTCGGGATGTGAGCAATGAGAAGGGAAGCTTTCCCTGGATCTCATTCCGAGAGCTGTTCTGTAGTCTGTACTGAAGTAGTAGGGTACATCTGTTAATATGTTTGCTTCCTAGGTAGCAAGATTTTTCATGTGACCTCTCTTGTTTTTTCAGATGAGTGATTTTGGGATCAGGAACATGGATCAAGTAGCTCCTGTGTCTAACATGTACAGAGGAATGCTAAAGGTGAGTACTTTTTAGCTGTCGCCTTCTAAAGCCAATTGGGGCATCTCCCAGCTAATGTATTTAATGTGTTCTTATTAGTGCTAGCACAGGAATTGTATGACCATGAACACATGTTCAGGTTTTATTTGCTTGCTTGTAAGCTTCAATCTTCTAGAGTATTCCCACTTCCAGTAGAGATGTGAAAAGCGGAACAGAAATAGGAAGATGTAAATCTTGCATGCCCAAATCCTTTCCCCCGCTCCTGCTATCCCCCAAATCCTAAGAATTTGAAAATAAGAGGTAGACAAATTCATTGGAGTTGACACAGCACTTTTGCCTAAATAAGTTACAGGACTAGCAGTAGGGGTGGTCTTTATATATTTAGCATGATAAGCCTGGAAAAGGGCTCTCCTGATGTGACTGGTTGGATTTGATTCATTTCACTAAAGGAAAAAAAAAAAGTAGGCTATTCACTTACTGTATGCAAGTATGTGAAATGGAATTCTAATACATTGTAATAAAACAAAGATAGTTATAAAATGTATTTTATCTTTAGATAGATTGTGTCTGTTACCTTGTTTTGAAAGGAACTTACAGCTGAGGACAAATTAGCAGCGGACCATAAAGACTCGGTCTTTAAGTGCTTCCCTCCTCACTATTCATACAAGTTGTTTTTAAATCCCAGTATTGATTTTTTTTTTACACGACATTTATTAATGTAAACCAAATAAAGATCAGGAAGACACTTTCCACTCTCATTAACGTTGAGGAATGTCCATGATTTGAAGAATGAGCTAGTGAGACTGGTATGCTAACTTCTCTGATGTTCTACATCCCCTCATAGCTTATGCTCCTGCCCTCAACAATAACAAAATCCACAAGTGATTCCCAACTTAACAGCTGTGTGCTCTGTAACACAGTGGTTGTTCTAAGCAGTTATTTAGTATTCAGTTGTCATATAATTAAGTCAATGTAGAGTCCTGTATTCTACTATTTTGTAGCGTTCACATTTCTTTTTATTTTGTTCTGTAATAATTGCTCTTACATGTGTTGAAAAGCCAAATAGTATGGTTACCTAGCAGCAGAATTTATTCTATATTGGGTTTTCCCCGTTTCTATTATTAAATTAAGAACCTGCTTAAACATTAATTTTCTCCTTTTTGAAATATGAAACTAGCACAGTATGGATTTTACTCATTCACATGCCGCAGCATTTTTTCCAGTGACTCAGGATAGGGGTCAGCTATTTACACAAAACGCAGGAGTTTCCAGATGGTGTTGAAAGAACTTGCCCTTTCTTTTAGATACTAGTGATGAGTCAGTGCTTTTATCTGGTAATGTATAAAGAATCTTCTACTGGGAGGTTTGGCAATTGTTATTAACTTGTTTCATTTAGATGTGAGCCTTTTGTGGGTTGGCTTTGACTCTAGTTGTGGGGGTACCAATTGTACACAATTTGTCTTAGCTGGCCAGTGTTCAGTGGAGATTTCTGAACCCAGTTAACTGAGGCATTGTACTGTTTACTTTTTATTCTGTGGAGTGCATGCTTTCATAATGTGTGTACTACGCCATATTGCAGCCTGTTATAAAATACAACTTTAAAAAATATGGTTCCTTATTTCTTACTAGGGTTAATGTAACTTGGGGAGTTTGGGGAGGGGATTGACACTGGCACATAATAGGCACCTGGTGCAAAAAGACTCCAAGCCACTTGAAATTTTGTGGTGAGATAAAAAGGAAAGGCAGGGAATGTGAGGAAATGTTAACACTCATTTTTATTCCAGAAACATAGTTCAGGTTGCTTGTGAATCGTAAATGAATACTGCCCTGAAAAATCTTTGCCTTGTCCTTAGCTAAATCCTTTACCTTGGCGTAAGCTGGCAGACCAGTGGATGCCTAGAACAAATAAGCATTTGCAGGTTGCCTTTGTCTCCAGCTCCCTGAACTGCAGTAGCTGCTATGAACAAACTGTAGCTTTACAGAACAATATTCTATCCTGGGGTGCTTTTATAAATCTCAGTGGCAACTTTTATCTATCCATGCCTTTAGATCCTACGGATACAGTTTCCTTGTGACTAACAAGCAAGTTGCATAAGTAGTTTTTAAAGTTATTTCCTCCTCTGTTAACATTCCCTCTGTCCCCTGAAGACTAATGTGGCTTGAGGGGGATCTAGTAAAAGTACTAGTATTTCTAGCATACAGAATCGACACAAGTCAAGTTTGAAAGAAGTTAGGTTTTCAAAATGCAACAATATTTACGGAATGTTGCCAATGTATTAGTAGAATCCACTTTATCTGGTATATTTTTATCAGTCCTGTTCATCCCTTTGTGTATGATGAAACTAGCAGTATTTCACTGAGCACTTGAAAGAATGCAGAATGTGGTAGCTGGCAAATGCAGTATCTCACAAATATAAAAGTCACATCAAAGCAGTAATATCTGTCCTCAGGTCCTATAAAGCTGACTGTGTGGCTTCAAGTGATATGGTTCAGATTAAATTTTTCCTTTATTAAAAAAAAAAAAAAACCCAAACCCAAAACAGAATAAATCTACTCAAGGTCTTGAACTGGCAGTTGTTTTTCCATAATTTACTGATTGTGCCTCTGCTGTCAAGTATTCATCAAGTGGATAGTCAATTTCAAGGGTTAAGGAAATAAGGATTTCTTTAAAATATACCTGTACATAAATAAATACCTGTACACACACACGTGTCTGTGTTCCCTATTGTTAAAAGCCTCAGTTGCAGGAAAACTAATATCCTTACTTGGCTTTACTGCAACCTGCAGAACATGCCACCCACCTAGCACTGTGGTCTGAATGTTAATTGTTTTGTATTCATGTACAAGAAGCTATGCTATCGTTGTGTTTATATTTCAAAGGCACAAGTTAGCTGATGGAAGATAGTAGTTGTGCATGATCTCCAAATCTAGGAAACCTAACTCAGCTACTTCCTAGCAATGAAGTTGACAGTGCTCTAGCAAAATGCTCACGTTGTTTATTTTTTTATTTATTGTTTTGCTTTTCAGCGTCAACCAGCATTTGACACCTTTGATAGCTCAAACTCTCTCTTTGCTGGATGCTTTTTCTCACTAAATGAAGATCAAACACTTCAGGAAGTGCCAACAGGATTTGATTCTACTTCTTATGGTAACTCCACTTTGTTGCTTAGTCCAGTCAGCAGATCAGAAATTCGTGGGTCCAACTACCAATTCATGGCAATGCCGTTAAAAGTGCAACATGGTTTTCCCTAAAAAGAAGTGGTTTAGTACACGGACTTCTGTGTACATGCTTGATTTAATTCATGGGAGTTGTTCTGTGGATAGGTGCTATTCTCTGTACTGAAAAGAAACGGGAACTGGTGTTCAGTAGCCTGATAGACTGTCCATGGAAGAAGCCTTAGTAGGTAAAAAACAGAGCTAAGAGAATTTTAAAAATAAATAAATGAATAATTTTGTGTGTATTGAAACTTGCAACATCTCAACCATAATCAAAATGCAAGTATTCTGCAAGCTCCTTTCTTGAAAATTGTGGTGGTAAATCCCAGTGTGTTTTACTCTGTGCATTAAAAACCAGGGGTGAGGACTTTTTACAGATCCTTTTGGTCTTTTTTCTTGTGTCTGTGTGTAGGACAGTACCTATCAAGAGTTCTCTACAAATGCTTGTCTAAAATCCCTGACAAAACATGAGGGTTTATCCAAAATGTAGACATTTTACCCTATGTTGCCTTTATCTCCCCTTGGGGAAGGAAAAAAAAACCCAACCCTCAAGCCTCTGAAAAGCAGTCCTTTGTTCTAATGTGATTCTAATCAGTCACCCGCTCTGGTCAGCAAAGCAAGTCCCAGCAGATATTGAGGATGGGTGTGGTAAAAATAGAAGTTAAGCACGGGCTGGTAATGAGCTCCACTTGCTGGGTCAAGTGGAGCCTGTAGACAGTCTAGGAGAACGAGAAGAGCTGCACAGCTTCATGAACTGACTTGGAGTCTGCCAAGTTCATCACCTTTATATACCCTGCCACCATTACATGCCTCTTGCGCAGCAGAGCTGCTCCAAATGCAACCTGCGTGTGAGTTCTCAGAGGCTCTCAAATGTTCAGGGATGCAGTTGTGAATTGGTGAAGTTGTCTTCAAATTACCCTTAGCTTAATGATCCTGATCACAAAATAGCAGTAAAAGACTTCCTAATCTGAAACACTGCTTTCTATTCCATTGGAATAAATAGTGCAGGCTGGTTCTTCACAACCCCACTATCAGTTACTTAGCTCTCAAACTAAATGAAGACTGGAGTTACAAGGAATTCTGAGGTCAAACTACAGATGACAAAATGGGAATAAGCAGTCTCGTATTTCCTTAAAAAAGAAAAAGTAATAGTAAAGTTTCCCTGCAAGAAAGGCTCTTTATGTAAGTATTAAGAGTAAATGAGGATCATGGAAAGCTGCAGAACTTTAATTTAGTGTGCTGCAACTTTATCAAACCAGTAGCATAGAGATTTTAGCATTAATATATTAAGTCAAAGGATATATCAGAAAATTATGTATTCTGTTTGTTTCTGGTTTTAAAATACCTAGTTTCTATCTTCCTTTTCTTATTCTTCAAATAGTGCAGCAAAAACCTGTCACTCCTTTCACTGTCCTAAAAGTTAATGTATCTTCTTTTTCCCCTCCGCCCCTTTTCTTTCTTGTAGAGTCCAACAACTGTGAATTGCCTCTGTTAACCCCATGCAGTAAGGCTGTGATGAGTCAGGCCTTGAAAGATACTTTCAGTGGTTTCACAAAGGAACAGTGTCGGCTGGGTATCCCAAATAGTAAGTGTTTTCTATTTATAAGCTTTTTCTTTTTTTTTTTTTTTTTTTTTTTTTTTTTTTAATGCTAAGGAGGAGGCTGAATAGCGGCTCTTTCAAAAGAGAAAGAATGATGTCAGTAGGAAATACAAGAATGGATCCTATGTGAATCTGGCACAGCTTGACTTGGAAAGACCAGACTTGCTGGTATTAAAAATGGGTGCATGGAGAGCTCATGCTTTGGCAGCGTAAGAGAGAATCAAGTAAGCTGAGGACATCTCTGATTACAAGTCAATGAAGAAGGAAAATAGAGGACTGTTTGGGGGGGGGTTTTGTTGTTTGTTTTGGTTTTTTTTTTTTTTTCCTTTTTTTTTTTCTTTTTTTAATTCAGAATAGGTTCATTCTGAATTCATTCAGAACTGAGTAACTTGGGTAAACAATTTTGTTCATTCACTGCCTTCTAATGATTATTTGACAAAGGTCAGGAGTTATCTTTACATGCTGGATACTTTGTCTTGCAGATCCCTGGTTGTGGACTGAACAGCAAGTTTGCCAGTGGCTTTCATGGGCTACCAATGAGTTTAGCTTGGTAAATGTGAACTTCCATCAGTTTCTTATGAGTGGCCAAGACTTGTGCAACCTGGGCAAGGAGCATTTTCTGGAACTCGCACCTGACTATGTGGGTGATATTCTGTGGGAACACCTGGAACAGATGATAAAAGGTAATTATAGATCCAGAACGCTTTTGTTTTAAGGCTCTTCTATTAGAAAAACAAATGGGACTCTTTCAACACTTGTTCCGCTATGAAGGGCTTTAATTACATGTGAAGACTCAAAATGAACTTTAAAACTTAGTTCTGATAATGCTTTTGTTGACCATTAATACATCCTTGATATGCAAAGCACAGATAGAGATACCTGCAGGAATCTTCCTGTATTCAGGCTGACTACTGTTGTAGTCAGGTTTTACTTGGAATAATCATTGAAATGAGATTAGGATAAGACTACTGCAATACCCCATTTAAAAAAGATAACCAAGAGTGGCACAAAGTTTGTTCGGTTCTCATTACAAGTTTTTGGTTTTGTTCTTTTAATGTAGTTTTTTAAGGTAATTCAGTGAATGACTATCAAAAAGTCAAAGACACCTTTGGGTGAACTCTGATGGTGTTGCTAAAACCGTACATGCAGTGCCCTGTGAGTTCCATGGCGTTTGGAGTGTAACATTCAGTAGTTGCATAGATTAAGGATTTGGACCTTAAAATATACTGTGATTATGTTGTTTCTATTTCTGTGTTAAACTTCAATTGGTATGATGGTTTTCAAACCTGTTGGAAGATGATTAGGTGCTTTGGTGTTGGTTTTTTTGGTTTTGGTGTGTTTTTTTTTTTTCTTCAAGAGAAAGAATGCATTGAAGTGTGTAAATTTACGTGAATGATGACCCCAAAGTACCCACGAGAGTTGGAAGCTTTCTGTGGCTTACAGGGCAGGTCTTCAAAACTATAAAACCAAATTAAATTTTGTTTTATTTTCTTTTGTTTCCCCTCTTCTCTCCCCAGACAGCCAAGAGAAGACGCAGGATCAGTATGCAGAGAACTCTCATCTCACCTCAGTTCCTCACTGGGTCAATAATAATTCCTTAAGTAAGTATTTTAAGAAATTTGACATTTTACTTCTCTGTTTACTGTAAGCATGTTGCAGAGTCCAAACAAAAAAGCGCACCAGAATAGTCACTGTGCTTGAAGAGAGCACTTGACTTCAATTGCTACAGCCTTCTTTCCTAGTGTTGTTTAATTGTCATCTATTTCATATCAGAAGTCTTTTGAAGAGCAAAGGCTTTGAGAAAATCAAATTTCCTCTTGGTATACCAAACACTACATCTGTGGAGCAGAATGACTGCTCCCACTTCTAGCAAACACCGTCAAAAACTAACATCACTGGGGAGCAGTAAGAGCTATATTTAGGCTTTTCTGAAGACTCTAGAAGTGTAATAGACCTTTTCAAAGTGTGTGGGACGCAGTGCTAGCTCCCTTTGATTAGTGTTGTATTTCATTCTACCATAGTCAATCTCCAGCTCAACCTTACTACACCACTTAATGATGAGGGTCTTATTCAAAACCACTTGAGCTTCTCCAGCTTTTTCTATAGCCCTGTAGTTTCCTTGAAGAACAAATAATAGACATATTTGTGGTCAGCAAGTTATAGAGGGAGATTTACAGAATCTGATTTGGAGCCCATAAATGGGGATCTTCTTACCGACTTCATTAGCTTTTTCAGTAGGTCTGTAGTATCTGTCAGTCTCTTAGATTTTCCTGGGAAAATTATTTCTTAGTGGCACAACTGTAGTGAGGTGCTTCAGGTGTATTAGTCTGTTTAAGGGTCTGTAGAATTCTTTTATTTCTTTTTTCAGCTGTAAATGTAGATCAGAACTCTTATGGTATGCAGATGCCTGGATACCCTAAAGCCCTCAGTTATCCCAAACCTAGTCTCCTGACTGATGTCTGTCAGACTTCCACAGGACCGAACCTCCTTAATCCAGAACAAGAGTTTTCATTGTTCCCTAAAACCCAAGCAGATGCTGTCGGTGTCAACTACTGTGCGGTAAATCAAGATTTCCCAAGAAGCAATCTGAACTTGCTGATAGATAATTCTGGTGAGTTGTCATCTGTATGATAACTGTGGTCCGAGGCCATATGCTCTATGGCTTTTTGTCCTCTCCATAATTGATGTATACAAGCTAGATGGAGGAGGATAAAAAAACCCAACCAAACCCAACACTTTGTTTGTTTGTTTGTTTTTATAAAGGTAAGCTTAGAGAACATGAATCTAGTGACAGTGGTGCAGAAAGTTATGAAAGCTCAGATTCAATGCTACAGTCCTGGAACAGCCAGTCGTCATTAGTGGATTTACAGCGTGTGCCATCCTATGAGAGTTTTGAAGATGACTGTAGCCAGTCCTTGTGTCTGAGCAAACCTACAATGTCTTTCAAAGACTATATTCAAGAACGAAGTGATCCTGTAGAGCAAGGGAAACCAGTTATACCGGCAGCAATTCTAGCTGGCTTTACTGGTAAGTAGTGAAGCAAAATGGTCACTCCTATTCTTATGTAACATCAGTATTCTCTATAAATACTTACCATGGTGATAAAGTTGTATGGTTGTAAGGTATGCCTTGCAATGTGGTCAGAGACCACGACTCACAGAGAGCTTCAATTTTAAATGTTGCTACAGAAATTCTCATAGATCTATCCATCATCTAAAGCAAGGACAGGCAGGTGTGCCAGAACACTTAAAAATCAAATGCGCTTTTTGATCTGTTTGAAAAAGAGGGAAACTTGGAAAAAAAAACCTGCCGTACTTGGGAGTTTCTGCAGGTGTTGGCTTGCCTGTTAAGAACTTGTTCCTACAGTCCTTGCCGAAATCGGTTTTTCCTTTAGAACATTTGCCAAGCCAAGGACTGCAGGACAAGCCCTGGAGCTTTGAATGCAGCTCATGGGAGGTGGGAGTGAGGGCTAAGGGATCCATATGAAAGGGAAAGCCATACCTTGTGTCAAATGCTGTGTTTCCATGAAAAAGCAGACTTTTAATTTTAACATGTATAGGAGCAGATTTGTGTTACAGAGAAAAATCTCAGCATTTTTCTGATGTAAAAAAAAAAAAAAGTAATTACAAGATCTATCCTGAGATATGAGTATGGTTACATACGCTGGTTATGGTAGAGCTCACAGGAGTATTAATTGTGGCTTCTCCCCACCCTCTCTTTCTCAATAGGCAGTGGACCTATACAGCTATGGCAGTTCCTTCTGGAGCTACTGACTGACAAGTCATGTCAGTCATTCATTAGTTGGACAGGAGATGGATGGGAATTTAAACTTGCTGACCCAGATGAGGTACGTGGCTAGCTGTGGTGAATACGAACATTTAAGGTCTGATCCGCCATCTGTGGGCCTAGTCTTGAATATAAAGCATTTACACAATCAGACACTTGCTGAAATCTCATCTGCAAATGCCTTATTGTACAGTCATGATTGCTGTGGGATGTTTCCCCCTCTCCTCCCACCCAGGGATATTAGCATTTGTTTGTAGTTAGGAGAGCACGTTTTATAGCTTGATACTTGAAGGTAGTATACCAAGTTCATTCTTCAGATAGTGGAATACTGTAGGTTAGTTTACTGGATGTAGTTGAATCAACAATGCCTGGGATTGCACAAAGGCATGGGGAAAATGCGCTCTGCCTATTACTGTTCTTTTAGATACACAGTAGTGCCACTTTTGAAATATTTTGGGAACTTACAGCTTTAGTCATTAAGAATTAACAGAATGCATTTTCATTTTCTCATACTCCTACCAGCAGGAAAGTTATTATATTAAGAAATGTGATACAAAGGCTTTATTTAAAAAGAAAAAAAAAAGGGCAAAAAAAAGCTTTAAAAAAAAAAAAAAAAAGGGGGGGGGGTGGGTGGGCAGAAATCATTGACCCCAAGGAACTTCATCTCATTCAGCTTCCGGTTAAAGACCTGTCCCATGCTGCTCAATAGCAAATTAACAGTTAGATGGTGTCTTCTTGAGGGAGTGGAGACTATTTCCTATAAACTTGATCACCTTAAACACATTTCGACCTATCCACTAGCAATAGCTGTCCTTTTCACTTATATAAGCCACTTTCTCCTGAAGCTGCCGCTGATAATTTCCTGGGGTATATTCAGTTGTGGGGTCAGTCACCAACTCTTCTTTTCCTTATCTGAGTTCAGGACATCCAAAACAAATAAAATGCTGTGACTAAGAAAGGGCTTTGATAACTGTTTATCAGCCACCAACTAGAAGAACATGACTTGAATAAACCCTTTGCGTTTTGCTTTCTTTTCGGCCTGCCAGGTGGCACGGAGGTGGGGAAGGAGGAAAAACAAGCCAAAAATGAACTATGAGAAGCTCAGCCGAGGCCTACGCTACTATTATGACAAGAACATCATCCACAAGACTTCAGGGAAACGCTACGTGTATCGCTTCGTGTGTGACCTGCAGAACCTGCTGGGGTACACAGCAGAGGAGCTGCACGCAATGCTGGGGGTGCAGCCCGACACGGAGGACTGAGCCCAACAACGTGATGCTGCAGGGGCGAAGATCACGCGTTGGGACTGTGTCTGGGAACCGTCTGCAGTAGTCAGTTCTTCTGGCTGTTCAGATGGCTGCAGCTGTTGGGAAATAAGGACCTTACCCGATTTTTGTAACCAGGGAGAGCTGGAAGGAAGTGGCCTTATTTCATCAGTGGCTTTGGGTGTTGCCATGTCAGGCACTTGAGCAGCGTGGAAGTCAGCACAGACCCTAGCTCTGTCATGAAGACATGGAAATGCTCTTGGGTTAAGCATTTCGACTACCTGTACTGCCGTATTAAGTGTTTTGGCTACTTACACTGCCATGTAAAACTGGGTTGGCTTTAAAACCAAAGGTTGGATGAGGAACCAGTGATGCAGCAGAACTGTGGCTCAGATATTTTAAAATACTATTGTCCTTGCTTACATCTAATATCATGCAATTTATAAAAAACAGCAACAAAAAACCACCCCAACAAACGTAATTTATTTTAAATGAGCAGTAAGGAGAGTTGATAGTAGTTTTGTTCTAAAGCACGTTTTATGATTATTGTTGTTATTATTACTCCTCCAGAAATGTGCTGCATAGGTACATAAACACTCTGTGTCCAAAACCAGATGTAGCAACTGTTAACAGAAAAAAAGACCCTGTAAAGAAGGGAAGGAAAATCGTACCATTTCAATATTCAGTTTGTATATATTTTGTGATTCTTTTTGAAACTCTGTAATGTTCCTATTTAACAGATACTGTATAGTGTAAATTAAACTAATTGTGTGTGTGTTTTGAAATAGGATGAATGTAAACTTATCAAATGGTTTTTTTCATGTTTGTCTAGGATATACAACCTTCTGCAAATATTTAATTGGCCTGAGAGACAACATAAGTGCTCAGTGTGCATGCATATGGTATGCCTACGATATGAAATGGGGGGGTGGGGAGGGAGGGCTGGCTCAGTATTTTGCCAAGACTGAAGTTGGCAATTCTTTGTGCATTTTGGCATTTTTACAAGCAACTGATGTTATATTCTGGGACATAAAGGGCCTGTTTGTGGTTTCTTCTGTAACTGAAAATGAAAATATTAATATGGATAAATTTACTTTTTTTCTTTATAAATGGCATCTGTTTTTCAACTTCTATGCATGTCCTCTGAAAAAAATTTATATACAAGCCTTATTTTTTCAGTTGACTTGTCTCTTCCTGCAGTTTATCCTGTATGATTAAAATATGAATTCTATTTTTGGAAATAACTGTGACTCCTTTTCAAAGATCAGGAGGGATTTATGTAGCAGCTATTTTTACTGCAAAAGAAAAAAAAAAATCACTGGAAAAATGTACTTTGTAAGAAAGCTTTATTTTTTATCTGAGCTTGATGTACATTTAAATGTGTTGTACAGTGTGAGAGGTTTAAAAATGAGTCTTCATTAAAACCTCTTGAATAAGAAAATAATGTGCGTGCTTTTTAATTTGGGAAGTTTCAGAGAAGTTTGGGTTTTTTTTATTTGTTGGTTGAACCATTGTCCATCCCACCACCACCCTCAATCTCTGCAGGATTAAAAAACCCCAAACAAACGCAGAAACCACCACCCAAACAGCCAAACTTAATGGGTAGGGAGCTTGATTCTGCAGAAGTGCATAGGCTGATGGTTTGGGTTGGAGTGGACCTTAAGGATCATCTAGTTCCAACCCCCTGCCATGGGCAGGGACACCTTCCCTCTATGCCAGGTTTTGCCCAAAGCCCTGTCCAACCTGGCCTTGAACACTGCCAGGGATGGGGCAGCCACAGCTTCTCTGGGCAACCTGTGCCAGTGCTTCACCACCCTCACAGGGAAGAATTTCTTCCTAATATCTAATCTTTAATCTCTTTTTTCAGTTTAAAGCCATTCCCCCTTGTCCCCTTACAACATACCCTTGTAGAAATTCCCTCTCCAGATTTCTTGCAGGTCCCCTTTAGGTATTAGAAGGCTGCTATAACATCTCCCCAGGGCTTTCTCTTCTCTGGGCTGAACAACCCCAACTCTCTCAGCCTGTCTCCATAGGAGAGGTGCTCCAACCCTCTATACTTTTCTCCATTCCTCTACCTTAGGAAAAGCAGGAAATATGGAAACATTTGCTCTTAAGCACATACTTAAAAAGCAGAAAATCTGGTTATTAATAAAAATGGTGCTTTCCCTAGGCTTTTTCATCTTTCTTTCTATCAAACTCTGGCTGTGTCTCGATGTTGCTTTCATTGTAGTCACCCTGTTGGCAGCATGTTAAAAATTTGGAGAAAAATAATGTGGGTTTTTTTTTTTTTTTTTTCTCTGAGAATGTGCCTTTCTAAATAGAGGCAGCTGAAGTGGTAGGTGTGAGTCTTGCAACATGGCCCTGGTCTTCTTTGAACAGTTGCAGACACTGTCCTTCAGCCTTGCTTTTCATTGTCCGTGTAAAGGAAAAGAAGCTTCCCACATCATTCCTCTCTTCACATCTACCACAGCTGCAGGCCTACATGCATCTCAGTCAGTGCTGGCCCGCAGACTGGTCTCATACTAATGATGAAGAGGATGTAAGGCATAGAGAGCTGCAATCCCCTGAGCTGAGACAAAACTTGGCACAAAGTGGAAAAAAAACCCTCAAACTCCAGGGCTTTGAGTAAAACCCTTAAAAACAGAGTGCTACGTATTAGCTGCCTTCGAGCTGTGATCCTAACCAAGGGATCCTAACCTTATTTTGCAGGAAATAATGTATGGTCAGTCTGTCACAATGAATATGTTGGTTTGTTTTTTTCTCCCTGGGTGTCTTTCTCACGCTGTGGCTGCAGAGCTCTAACCATCCTCTCAATCTGTACAAATTTCATTTTCAATGTTTTCCATGAACACAGAACTGTTTCTTCATTTAGACTGAAAGCTTAGTTGCCTTTTGATCAATGCTAGCTTCAGCCTAGAGACTAAAGGGAAGTTGTATATTTCCCTCCCATACCCCAAGCAGGAAAAGAAATTTCATGATAGCAGAAGTACAAAGCATCGCAACACATGCAACCCACACTAGTGTGCCTTCCAGAGGCAAAACCTGGTATCCTGTACTGGGTCAAGCCAATGCAGTGGTCCAAGCTGCAACCCAGTGTGACCCAGAAGACAATTATTAAAGGGTATTTTGTCATAGCACACACAGAGAACACCACTCTGTTTTCTCAGCCACCCAGCGTCAAAGAGGCTGTTGAAAGCAGTCTGGCTAAATTCTTCAGGACGTGCCTCCCTGCCCTTCCAGCTGCCAGCTTTCCTCATGAGACAGCAATCAAAATAAAGCCTCACAGTTGGCACCTACCCATGGTTGGCATGTCACCTCTAACAACAAAGTTTTTGACTTCAAAGCCTTCTTTGCTCTTTTTTTAAGATATATTATTTTTTATAAAGGTAAAATCCCATCCTAATAAAACAACACCTCCAGCTTGGAAATCTGTGAGCCACAAACACTCGATGTCAAGGAGGCTATTCCGGGAAACATCTGTCTGCTGCACCCTATTCTTATGCTCACCTAAGGTCTTAGATGTCAGCCACTGCCAGGCGCAGGTTAGGAGCATGAGAAATGGGGCAAATGATGGGTCGCTTACCCCAGTACTGTATCTCCACCAGTGGGAGAAGGATTGACTGAACCTGGCCACTCTCTGCTGGACCCTTCCCCATGTGATTCCCCAACACCCCCCCCCCCATGGTGTTTGGCTTGTCAGGGGGGACACTGCCCATTTCTTTTACTACTGACTTGAGGAGATCTTCCTTTTCCAGCCTATAAGGAGGCCCCTTGGCCACTCTCTGCTGACCTGCCTTCAAGCATTGGAGACAGGCACCTCACCCACAGGCTGAGGTAAAGGTACACCAAGGTTCTGCTCAGCAGCAAAACAAAGCCCTCCTCTCAGTACCCTTCCTCTGGTACCTTACACTTTTTTGGCTTTTTGGCAGTCACTTCACATTGAGCTGATGATTTCAGAGAGCTGTCAGTGATGACTTTCAGACCCATTTCCTGGTAACTACCATTTCCTAGTTTAGCACCACATACACCTGCTTTGGGTCATATTTTCTTGGGTGTATTACTTTAAATTAATCTACATTGATACTCATCTGCCACCTTTTTGTCAACTCACGCCATGTTGTGAAGTCCTCCTGGAGTTTCTCACCAGCACTGTGGCATTTGACTACTCAGACTATTTGGTACCATCTACAAACCTGGAAGTCCTCTCATCAGCCTGGGATTTCTGGCCACAGTAGAGGCAGTGTGGCTGTTAACATGATAAGGACCAAAAGGGCTGCTGCAGGATTCACCCTTTCTTCTGTTTTCAGTTCTCATCTCCTCCACAGTTTTCTGGGTGGCCTCAGGTAAAACACTCTGAGACTGAGCCTCTCTTGACAGGGCTGCTGCTATTCCAGTACAAATCTCATTAACTCACCCTTGTGTATGCAACTAGCAGCACCAAGGTGGTGTTCTACCAAGTATCTTCTGGGTTTTCCCTCTCCAGAAGTAGGTTTTGGGCCAACACTCTTGTGGTGCAGGACCATATCTGGCAATGAACAGGATCAGCAGCAGCTTGTTCAATGTGGAAAAAGAGCATCTGGCCCTCAAGAGGGTTCAGTAAAACTCTCTGAAACTATGGTACTCTATAAATACCAACCAGATACTGGAACTTCTTGTATTTTTGCTAAAAAAGCCTCCTGGAATTTAAAAGGAAGCAAGACCTAAAAAACGATTTACATGCTCATAGCACTAGTAGAAAGTCTTCTTGATGCCCTGTCCAAGGATGGTCCAAATTTTGACAAAGAATTGCCAGATCTCGGCCACTGCAGTTTATCTTGTGTCTCATGTTTCCCTTTTATTCTGTGTGAAGCAGAGCATTCGTTGAACTGTCTGTGTTCACACAGCCATGTGACTGCAGCAGAGCTTCATATGCTAGACACATGAATGCTCAAAATGCTACAGAGGGAATAAAAGGC